GGTTTATGATAAGTTATCAAAATCGGAACTATGAATTATTTTGATAAAAATCTGCAATGAAAAAATTTAATATCAATTTTGAAAAACCAGATAACTAACTGCGTTTATAATATACATATATTCTATACTACATATTATTATAGTGAATAATTTTAATGTCGTTATTTTTTTTTTTTAATTTAAGTATATTTAAACAGAAAAAAAAGTATATTTATAAGAATAAATAAATGGGCAATTTTATTAAGGCATTTAGGGTTTCAGTCCATGAAAATCACAAGATGTTATATCTGGATCCATCTTGCATGCCTATGATTAAAAATGTATAATATACCTATCAATAAATACATAATATATTACAATATATAAATTGAAAAGGTAGTATTGAAAGATCGTTGGCCTCAAAATTAATGCTCTAAAAATTACCGAAATTTGAATGAACTTATTATGCGCTTAAATATACTGATATATTCCTTATTTGTTTTTATAATTTAGAAAAAAAATTGAAAAATTAAAATTATAAAATTTAAATGCGTCAAACAAACCACATCACGCAAAAAAGTAATAAAACAAATGTTGTATAGGACTTTTGTTACTGCTACACGTTAAGGAATTGCATACGAAGATATGGCCAAAAATGAGTAGAAGAAAATAATTGGGGAAAAAATTGAAAATGCTGATTTATTAATAGAGGCAAATTTATAACTTTTAGCGGCGTCTTCCGATGGATTAATAGACTAAGATAGTCTCATCGAAATCAAATGTCCAGCATCTGCTTAGAGTTTTACTCCAGAAGAAGGAATTTTAATGAAAATAATAAAAAGTTGCACTATTGAAAACAGTTAATTACATTCTAAAACAAATGATAATTAATTTTATCAAGTCCAGGGTCAATTGCATGTAACACTCAAAATGTTTTATTGATTTTGTATCTGGACACCTAAAGGCAATAAATCGTTTTGAAGTCACAATAGGATTGCAATCGAAATGTATAATAAATAAGTTATTTGTTTGCAGGTTTGATGTATGAAAAAATTGAAAAATACGACGATTTCTTGGATAAAAATATGAAGTCTCAATTAACAACGTTAATTATATTGAATTAATGAATATACAAGTAATATTAACGAGAATTGAAAGTTACATTTATTTAAACCCTTGTTAAAAAATGTTTTCATTATTAACTTATTACGATGGCAAAGTAAATAATACATAACTTATGTACAATAATATGTTAATAAATATTTAATAATAATGAAAAAAATTATTACGATTTTAGTATTTACGAGAAGACATAAAATACGGCCGGGCGACCTGTTATACAATCCAATTTTATGCAGTTATTAAAATATTGGGCGTCGTTATCATTACGCTACTGAATTGCTGAAATCACAGAAGTTCACACACCAATTGTCATTTACTTTTTACCACATTTACACCAATATAGACTAGTAATATAAACTGCTCATACACTTAGAAACTGTTGCTGCAGCCGCCTTAGTACAAAAATGATGATGATAATAATAATAGTTGAAGTAAGGTGTAGGATACGTATTACTTACAGCTCATGGGCGGCAGGAAATTTATAGAAGGGGTCTATGAATCATAACAAACAAAAATTACATTAAATGTTTGTTCAAGCAACCACAAATATTTGAATTATATGTACTAATTAGTCGTTATTAAATATCTTTCAACTACACGATTTCGAGACTGCAGTATTGACTGTATAATTTATTTAATAATTGAAGTCGAGTCAAAGAGACTTCATTAATAGAATCATAAAGTTGGAATTTTTAAAATATTGATATCCATAAAAGTATAAATAATAAACAAAATATTAACTATACTAAATACAATACGTATAATTAAATGCAGTCCGTGTTTCACCGTAGACAGCCGTTGACATTAATTTCTGCAATTTTACACAATTTCAAGTAAATAATTAGGCTCAAGTGATGACCTAAAATATTAGAAATGACCTAAAAATAAATGTAAAGCCGACGAAATGAAAAATAAAAAGCAATACGTAACTGGAACAGCGGAAACATATT